TCTCGTCACTGGCGACTGTCGTTTGACCGGGCGAGTCTCATGCCGCTTAGACGGGGTTTTGGTGTCTTTGGGGCAGGTCCAACGGATGAGGTGCTCTGCACTCCGGCCTGGGCGGTCCCGTCTCTTTCGGCCGCGACGGTCAATGGCCAGAGAAGGCAAGCCGCAAGCACCGCTGGATGAGTCTGAGGTGGAATCTATGGATGCCCTGAGGAGGAGAGGAGGAGAGGAGTTGTCGAACGGCGCGTCTTCTCCTCTTCCAGCGAGTCAGGCTGCCGTCTACCCAGAGACCCAGAGAGCTGCGACGCACGAGCACCGCTCCTGCATGGCCGGTGGACCAGCTCCAGCGGTGCTCAACCGTCGCATGTGGTAAGGTGCCTCCGGCCAAGGGGACGGTGGGTTCACGAGTGAGTTGGTTGACCTCTCATGTGTTGGGGTGCTCGCTCTCGAGCCTTTTGACAGGAGAGAAAGTGGAGTTCAGGTCGCAGTGGATGCCGACGAGTTGTGTTTTAGCGCGCTTCTGGTGTTTCTGTTTCTCAGTCTTTCCTGTCTTTTTTTTTTTAATGGCTCCGCGTGTGGCAGCTGCAGGTGCAAGTGCAGGTGCAGGGCAGAATGGACAGGGCAGAAGAGAAAGGACAGGGCAGGAGCGGCGATGGGACGGTGGACAGTGGACAGTGGACCCCAACGACTGCCTCACCTCGTGGTTCGTCCCGGTGGCTTCCAGCCATTGAAAGCCCTTGCCGCGGCAGGCCACGCTGCCCCCCAGTCTTCCAGTTCTTTTCCATGCCGTCCCATCGGCCATTTTCCTCTCGTGCAACCTACCTACCTAGGTACCCAAGCTACACTTTCGTCCGTAAGGTAAGAGGTAGAGACCAAAGCCGTGTATTCCTTTGCAAGCTATTTCCCGGCCAAGATACTCGAGGTCGATGCAGAGTGCGCCTGCCCTGCGTCATTGACCAAGTGGGGAGCTCCCTCCTTCCTGCAATCAACGCCTCCCGTCAAATCGTGCCTTCCCTAAGTACCTAGGCGATGATTACATTACGGATCCATATACCTTCCATAGACACATTCGCTCCTTCTTCAGTCTCTGACTTGACACTCGGCCGAGGACACAAAATCCCGGCTGCTCTTTCCCACTAGCCCTTGAATCTTACCTAAGGCAAGGTAGCTATCGGCACATGGCAGGGAAAGTCTCCACTCCACGACACTCCTCTCCACCTTCTTCCTGTCCGCTGCCCACATCACCTACACACTCGAGGTAGTCCAACCACTGGCAAGAGCATGACTGACTCCCTCTGAATGCAGCTTCCAGCATCTCCGTATCAGAGTTTCCATCCTGCGTCTACCAAACATTTTAGCTCGCATTTTCTCCTGCTTCCTGCATCCCTTTCTCAGGGACTAAATGCACAGCCGCACTCCAGCCAATGCACCTTGGATGCAGATGCAGGGCCAATGCACAGGGAATCGGCCATGCATTCGTACCTTACCTAAGGCCTTGCTACCTGTTCCTCCTTCTCCGTCTCCGTCTCCTCCACCACCGCCTCGCACCCGACAATGCAACAACTCGCGCTCCTTTCTACCCCGAGCTCTGAACCTTGAGGTACCTATCTACCTCACCTGAGGTAGCTAGGTAAGGATGGAAGCCACCGACAGCAGACGGGACTGACCAAGGTGATGCAGCTATTCCATCCTGCGAGTCTGCGAGATGCTCTCTCGCTTCTGATCCACATGCACCACCGTATCCCAACACAGCCTGTCCATGCCAGCCCGGGGCATGCTTCCATGCACTTCATCGACCAAAGTCACCTTGGACACTGCCGAACACGCACGCGCTCTATGAGGGGTTAAACTGGCACCCGACTCTTCAACTTCATCGACATTTCCCGATCCGGTCACAACCTTCAACAGGAACCACCGAAGAATCGACCGCGACCCGTCTCCCACTTCCTGGACCCCAGTCCCTCAGATGTTGTCAACCACTTCATGACTTGCCAAGAGGTCCACCCCTATCAACCACAAATCCTTCATCTACACTCAATCAATTGTCAGAATCATCACCGCAGATACCCGTATATCCACGAATAACCCGCAACCGAACCAAATTTGTCGCGGACACTCGGAGCCGAAGACTAAGACACGTACGTCACTGTCCGCCTGTCACTTTCAACCTCTACCAAGTAGGCAGCTTGCAAAGACTCGCAAATTTCCGGATAGACGAGGGTCAGCCGCCTCCCGCCTTATCCCCGGTGAGCAATCGGCCAGTCCAGAGCAACCAACAAGCCAAGACTTTGAACTCGCCGTTAATTCGCCAATCGCAACTCGTCATTTTCTGCCTCCAACCCGCGCTCGTCGTGAAAATTTTCTCTCCTTCCCAAATAGCCTGATATCAACATCTCAACAACAGGCTCCCTTGCGCCTTACACCTGTGAACCGACTGGTGGGATTCCGGGGTCCCCAGATTGCTAGCCGCAGATGCGACTGCAGTCTTCTCGCTTCTCGCAAAGTCCACTCCCTTCAACTTCCTGTCACATCACTACGGCCCGATACCGAGGCCTTGACGACTGCGACACTCCATTCCTCGGCCTGGGCGTCCTTTCTAGGCAAGATCCTAACTTCAACCCTCCTATCACCATCACCATGACGTTGCAAGTCCAGGGCTTGTCCAGGAACCCAGGCCGGATTCTGGCCCCCAACTCGGTATGAGCTCCTGTCTGTGCTGCTGGATGACATTGTTCTCCATGCTTGTGGATTACTGAGATGAGATGGTTTCGTTTACTCCTCATCACCCGCATATCGACCCCGTTGCCAACCAAACAAGACATCTCGATTCTGAGATTGCTGCTCCTCGACCCGCTCCCCATGTCCGGCCTGCGGGCTTTACCCTCGAAGGAACAACTTCTGCTTGAACCGAGGAACCGGTCTACCGGGTTGCAGACTTGGCAAACGGCGTCTAGACCCCGGGCCATTCAAGTGCCTGCGACGGCCTGTCAACGTTCCTCCACCTGGAGCCCTAGTCCGTCTCTGATGCCTCGGTCGTTGCAGCGGCAGAGATTTTCGACAGCGGTTCGCCCCTGGTTCGTTCGATATGATCTCCATCGACATGGCTGATGTCGTTTATTCTCGAACAGCCATGTGGAAACTGACACCATACTCGCCAAAGAGCCGAGATGTCTACTGCGAGACAGGCGCCCAGGCCAATTCTCCGCCATCTCACCTTCCCACGTGGCGGAGATGAGACGGACTGAACCATTAGCACCACAGAGTTTCAGGCAGGAAGTCTAAATCCTCTAACCACCCTGACCAAGTCAATGCGCCAATTCGTCGTCGATCCCCTAAATGCTCGGCCCCCAATACTCGGTCCCAAAATCCGGGTCACCTCATTTCGACTATTGATGACTTCTGCTTCATCGTAGCAAACATCTGTCGATGCAATTTTCAACCGTCCATTCTTCTACGGACAGCTGTCATTGTCGTCCTTGGTCGAAACTCCCGTTCTACCATTCTGCCGCGGTCAAATTTTGCCAACGCAATTGCCGCAAGTGCCACCCAATATCGAGTCTTTCGATGTTTATGCCGTCGACGTTGTCCTTTGAGCCAAACCTGGTGTAGCCTGCGCCGCATTGCCATGGGTTTCCCAGTGCTTCCATGCGGAGGATCTGCAATCGCACGAGCTAGTCTCTAGTTCATCTCGCAATCCCCAGTGGTCAATATCGACCTTGCGCTAAACTGTGCAGACTTATTCTCAGGCTCTGTGCACGCATCACAGGCCTTCGCCTTGCCTGCGTACCTGAGGACAGCCAACAAACTGATCTGCCTGGGAGAGAACGCACTGGCCCGTGCTGCTATATTGAGCACTCCAAAGTCTAAGCTCGATGTTCCTTTCGCGCGAAGGTCGGGCTCGAGTCGCCCGGAATCATCAGGGACCAGAGTTCCCGAAGCGCTCGGTCAAGTTGATACCCGAAAGCGATTGAGCCTGCTGCCGTCACTCAAGAAACTGCCGGGTCGGCCGCGCGGTCTCGTTGAGTGATCCCATTGCGCCGCGTCTTGCAATCCAGGACTGGATTGAAAGACGCCTTCCCATGAGGCACGGGTTTCTGCGTATCACCATGGTTCCGGACTCATCCTCCAAGTCGTTTGTCATTGCCTGACTATTGGATAATCATTCCGGGGAGGCAGGCTGCCGCTTGTCGTGTAGCACCACGTACGCCACGTGCTTCGTAATGACGAGCCAGTGTGTCTCCGCTGCCACCGCCGTTCCAGGAGTACCCGACCGAACCGGACGTCCACGAGCGGGATGCGGCTCAAGGCTGGGGCTGTGCCGATCTCGTACTAGAGATCCACAGGTCACATGGCATGTTCTTCAACTCCATGGCTGGCTGAGTACGGATAGAGCCAAGATCTTCAGGCAGGTGATGGGATCATCCGCATATCGACTGCCACATAGCGGACTCGAATCCGCCCCGGCCACCGTGTGAGCTCAAAGGCGGCGTAGATACGAGGCTGGCACAATCACAGCATCGGGACAAGATGCCGTACGTAGCCTCTGACAATGATCAGCCGTCTCACCCTTGTCCGCGTCCCTGTCAACCTGCCATTCGTTTGGGAGACTGCTTGATACCGTCGAGTGCCCCCCACGCTGGCGTCACCGGACGAGATAACGGCCACAGGCAGCGAGAGAACATCTCTGCCCGACGCAGGGCAACCGAGGGAGACACAACCTTGGTTTTAGAGTTGAATCGCAACCGACCTTCTCTTAACGTGATGTGAGCCCGAGATTGATTGGTCTCTCATCTCGCCGACCCACCGCGCCGGAATGCACCCCACCACGTCGCGCCCACCACCCAATCCTCGCTCGACGACAACTTCCGGCCTCGTCGCCGACCCTAACATACGCACATTTCGCGTTTGCTCTCAACAATCCAAATGGTTTCGTGGTGTAGTTGGTTATCACGTCAGTCTAACACACTGAAGGTCTCCGGTTCAAGTCCGGGCGAAATCATAATGGGCGAATGGTTTAGTGGTATAATACTCGCTTAGCATCAGACAGTTAAACTGTCTAACTTGTGAGTGGTCCAGGGTTCGATTCCCTGTTCGTCCAGTCTTTTGCTGTTTAGCTCTGTTTTTAGGGGCTGGTATTGCTTTTGAGGGTTCCTAGGAGCTTTTCGGAGCCTTAGGGTGTAGTTTTAATATTATTCATGTAGACTGGCAGAGCTATAGAGCCACAGCAGCCAGCATGTGAGGAAGACTCAAAATTTCCATGTTAGATAGGCGTGCGACATACTAACATAAAAGAGGGACAACGTGTCTAAGACGTAGATCGTCTTGTTTCCTGCTTAAATATCTTACGTGACTTGAGGTACTGGGGAAGTGGCTACTGAGTTTGAAGGTTTGGTCACCCTTCCCTACTTTTCCCTCTCTCTGAAGCTAGACAACGGGGAGCGGCGTTTGTTTCACGCATGAATTTTGTGTTGTGCTCCGTCGAGATACGCAAGCCCCAGCAGGAAAAGCTATCAAGATGTGGCGGTCTGTAGGGGTCAAGAGCCAAGCAAGCAAGACCTGGCAGAGGAGCATGCTTGCAGAGGGGTTGAGGATTCAGGTTCGGCGCTTTGGGTTATGGGTCCCCTGGGCCTTTTGACAACGGTGTAATGGTAAATACCGGAGGGCACCAGGACTTCAAGATTCTCTATCTCAAGATCCGAAGTATGTTTGAGATACTACGACTACTTGACCATATCGGTTTCAAAAGACAGACGGGATCCCGCCAATTCCATCGCAGCAAATTCTCCTTGAGTGCCTATGACTGTGAGATCATTTTGAATCTATAAGTGTTTGACGCTTCTCAGCGAGTACCCCCAAGTCTTAACGTCCAATGGTGTTCTTCCCATCCACCGCCTTCATTCCTCCATCGACCATTTGACGGAGCTCCTCGATGTCGACATACGATTTCTCGGCGATGCTTTGAGAGCGGCGGGTGATTCCATGCTTGGCTTCCAGATGTTGCACGACTTCCGTCACTTCATTGGAGACTTCGTGGGACCAAGGCCCATCCATGTCGCGCAGACGGTAGCTCCTCGAAACCCAGAACATGAGGACCTCGCGGTACTAGGCGAGGCAGCTGTCGGAGACAGCAGCGTCGTGGATACCGGGGGGCCCACCAAAGCGCACGACGAATCCCATGAATAACTTGAGGTTGCGCCGGAGGGGGTCCCATTTGGAGCGACCTGAGTCGCCCGCCTTGGGAGGAGGGAAGCATGCCTCCTCAAGCTGGTCGTCGGTGACGTCGTCCGGAAGCTTCTCGAGGTCTTTGACGAAGTCCTGAAAGTGCGCCAGAATGGCGTCCTGTCGCTGCTGAGTTTCTTGCGAATGCCAGCGAAAGCCAGCAGCTTCTTCCGACTCTCGCTCAATCTCCATCATCTCGGAGAAGCCGTCAACATCATCGCCAGCATCAGGGTCGACACGTCGCAATCTGTCCAGCCATTTGTCGGTAGTCTCGCCGCGCTGGTGGAATTCGCTGGGCCGCTCAGTCATGATGGGAGGATCCTGCGCCGGTTGTTAGTTAAAACTTCATGCAATGACCGTATGGTGAACGAACTTACGAGGACGAGATCGACAGATAAGCAGGGCGAGGAGTGTGGTCTGGGGAGGGTGTTGGTATCAGCCAGACGTGGATCTGATGGGGGAGAAAGAGGACTCTGGTTGAGAAAGAGCGAGGGAGGCAAGGGCAGACGAGAAGAAAGACCGTTAGGTGGAACTTCTCGTCCCAGTATTCGTGGTCGTTTGTTGTTCAGCTCGCTCTGGCTGGTTGGTCAAAGCTGGTGCTCAGGTGACGGCTTCTGGGTTGCCTTTGGCACTTCATGAGGCCAACAACAACCGGGCAGCAGCTGCCTGTTCCAACTAGGTGGATGCGTGAAGGAAAAGCAGCCGCATACATAGAATCAGGTTCAACTACTGCTGCAGCTCTGCAAATTCAAGGCCACCTGGGAGTGTTTGAGGAACTATCTAGTAGCGTTGGTCGTTGGTCCATCGCCGCAGACACTCGTAATGGAGTGAGCTTTGGATCCTGCGTATTGGTACCTACGATACCTACATATCCGTTGGCACCAGAGGAGTCATTTCTGTTGTTGCGATATCAGCCTGACGGCAGCTCGACCGCTTGGAGCTGTATCGAGCCGCAACACAAACTTCCCAAGGTCCTCGACGCCAGCTACATAATCGCTGTAATAGATAGACAATGGCCACCACCATCAACGCCACGAAGAGTTTCGGTGGGGTCGCCATCTTACAAACAGAGGACTCTAAAGCCATATCATGTGGCTGTTTTCATGGTCTGATTTCCGAGCTGAGCTACTCAAGACGTCGACGCTTTCCGTGTGAGAGGTGTAGACCGTCCACGTAAGAGCAAAAAACTACTTACTGAAACTCGTCTCGCCGGCCTGAGTACAGCTCCCAAGAATTTGGTGAAAATATCCTTCTTATTAAGTAGTAAAAGAGAAACTTGAGCTTACAACACAAGAATCCGAGCGGTCTGCGTTTCCATACTCGATGACCGTCTCACCACCAACCTCGCCATCCTTCATAGTTCCCCAAGCTCTGTGAATTATTCATAAGTGTATCATATGAGCCAAATCGACCATCTTCTACAGGTCCCTTTCTGCCGAAAACACGAGTCTAATCGTAGAACAATGCGAGCGCGGCACTGACACAGCGTGTTCATACTTGGCTGGAGTATGCCAAAGTCTATGATTTTCCCCTGTCTCTTCATAGCCCAAGTGATATTAACTTATAGTATATATGCACTACATCAGAATACCTGAAAGACAATGTTCTTAGTCTCGGCTACCTCTGGGAAACCCTGCCGGAAGTCTGCTAGACCATGCTTGTCATTGGAACATCGTATACATGTGCATGTATTTAAATGACGTAGGCTTCATAGGCTTTTGCTCGTCACGAATAAAAGACTCGTCCAGAGCGCTGTACAGAGACTTTGAAAGCCTGTCATAGCAGACTATGGGGCCTAAAGTCTTTCATACGCTTCAACCGGGTCCAGAACAAGGGGATGTCTTGCATACACGCTGGCGTCCACCACCTCTTCATACGTATTCGGATCTTTGCATCCATGAACAAGCTGTAATGTATTGGGTTCTCCATGCCAGAGATTCCATCCCCCATCGCATCGCTTCTGCTGGTCACATTCTCTTCAAAAGACATTGCAATGACCATTTGCGGTGAAGAGTACAAATTGCCGGTTCTGTCTAGAAGACCTTGAAGTTCTATCATCTGCGTCTATTTGACGTCCCCAAACGAACAGATGCAATAATACTGACGCTTGTATGAAGCCCGATGCTTCACGCTGACGCTACGTTCTGCAAAAGTATAGACATCACCTCAAGTGTTACCTAATACCTGATGGGTCATCAAGGAACTCATACCAAACATCAAGATTGTCTCAACGTCTCTCCCCAGGGTTACTTTGCCTCCTTTTTCTCCCCTCTACAACCCTTCATTCCCCAGATCACATACCCCACACCCGCGGACGAAGCGCCAATATCAATGAGCTGTCGACGAGCATGCCACCTCTGCCGTACATGAAAATCCCCCCAGGACACGTAAGTACGGATGGATGATCGCAGAGCAAAACAGTTTACGGCTCCCTGCTTATATACATGTTCGGAACATGCGAAGGTTTCTCGTCATTCCGATGATCTGAAAACGCCTAAGGCTTCAAAATATATTACATACTTATGATGTTCATGTCTGAATTCAACATATTCGCGAGACTATATCAATCTTGTCTCCCTCTTTGGTTGTTATCACGCGTCAGTACATGAAAGTCATGTCGATCTTGAGAACCAGGGGTCAGTAGGCGCGATGTGAATATCATCTCGGAGGTGAACCTTTAGAATAGACAACGGACAGCATGAGCGGATGACCATAACGTATTGACGATCAAAGGGGTCGTGCAACCAAAGGTTTATTTTAGCTTGACCTCGTCGAGTGTTCTGTTGCTATCATCGATACTATGGAATCTTTAGCCGGCGGTAAAATTTGCGGCGATCCTGGCTCAAGAAAACGAGACTCTCTGGGATAATTAGACTTGTATGCAGATACAGCGAGGCCATGGGCCTGAGGCGTATACTTTGCGAAGCTGATGTCTATAATTTAACATTGGTGCTTGCTGCAAATATATTCACTCAATCGCAATAATGCTGGTGTCACTAATATTGCACATTGCTTTGTTTGGATTACGTGGCGACCACCCCAAGACTCAGGTAAGATGCTCAATACAGCAAGCTGTCTTCGAAGATGAATCATGCCTCTCGCCTGTATCATCGGTTCCAATGACCTCAGCATTATCCGGGTGTACTGATGCCCTGAGGTTCCTACATCAGAGCTAGTATGCTGCTGCCAAGTAACTATGTCCCAATTTACAGCTCTGAGAATCACCTGCCGTCTCTATCATGTGCCATTGGGCTTGCTCGGAGCACAAGTATGAGATATCCCGGTGATCTTAACTCGAGCACAGCCCAATTCGCCTAAGAATTTTAGGGTCTCGAAATATTTCTCAATCACTCGACACCTCTTCTTGTTACTCCACCGGTAGCTTCGTCGCCTCTCCCAACATATTCCTCCGCGCATACTCACGACTTTTCTCAGAAAGCTCTAGCATAGCCATTAAGCTGGGTGCAGACATGGCACAGTTTAGAGCAACACAAGCTGGAAGTCCATTTTCCTCTCCATTTTGAACAAAAGAGATCGACGCTAATGCCATTGCTTAAGAAAACACCGTGTAGAACAGGGCAGCTTAAATCAAGTCGCAAAGGATACTTGACACTTGGCGACACACACATCTGTACAAGACTATATAAACCAAACACCCACGCAACCCTCACTCATACTCCAAGCAAATGTCGGGATTCACAAGCTTTTAACCCGGCAAGCACTTCTCACTCGACAAGTTTGCATTGAAGAGCTTGATAGATTGAACCTCGATACTTTCAACCCTCTCAGGCCATAGTTGCTTGTCCATCAGTACCTTCTCTATTCATTGCCTTGAATCTATACGTGTAGTAATACCCCCTGTTCTCACGGTCCTGCCCG